TTGTTGTTTTGTTGCTGTTGTTGTTGTGGTCGGTGCTGTTGGTGGGCTTTGCCATAAAGCGGTGGCTACTGGCAAACTCAAGGAACCTACCAGCCTCGAGGCGGTCAAGCTCAGCTTCCAATTCTTCCAGGGTGGATGCAACCATAGTCAAGGCTCGCTCAGCAAACCCTCGTACAAGAGTGCCGTGGCAACAGGCACGGCTTTGTATGGCACTGGCACAGGCAAGAGATTACCGGATTATCAGTGGGGAGCCAACACACGAGCAATAATGGTGTAGAATGCATGCACAAGTTCATTTCAGCCCACTCCCAATTGGGCTGATTTGCCCTCCCGGGTAGTTCCGGCCACTTCCCGCCAAGTTCCGCACACTTCCCGCTAAGTTCCGGCCACTTTTCTTTTCCGGATTTTGCTTAAGGATGCCGAAAGTCCAGATCAGCCCAGATTCGAACTAATCAAGCTCGAATTGTTTGGCTCATCACAAAACCTACTGCACGTGTCGGAAAAAGAGAAGTTGCAAACTGCACTCTCCACAAACTGTCCGGAAGAAGGCACAGGATGCTGTCGGTCACATATATGAAGCATTTGTTCCTCAGATCACACTAGCTCCATGCAGCTGCAACGAGGTCTGTATTTGCACTGACAATTGCAATCTGCACTCTACGGCCGGGCACTGAAAAGGAGCCACCTATTCTTCAGAGTGCACCAGCAGGAGCAGCAACAAACAAATTGCACTCCAGGCACAACTGCTTTAATCGGAAGGAGGCACACGAACTGGTCGAGCACGGATAAGAACAGCCATGTCCTCGGACAGTGCCGTAACATGCAGCAGCATCAGCAACAAAAAATGCAACTGATCTGAACGATTGCAATCTGCACACAAATGTTTCCCAAGCTGTCTTTGGAAGCGAGGCACAAAAGAACTCGTCGATCACGGACAGGAACCAGCTGTTCCTAAGATAATGCCAGAGCCGCGCTGGTAGCAATAGCAGCAGTAGTGGTGGTGGAGGTGTTGTTGTGGTCGTTGTTTTGGTTGTAGTAGTAGTAGTAGTAGTAGTAGCAGCAGCAGGAGTAGTAGTAGTAGTAGTAGTAGTAGTAGTCGTAGTAGAGTACTACTACTACAAGTACTACTAGTGCTACTACTACTACTACTGCTACTACTAGTACCACTAGTCCTACTAGTCTTACTAGTACTACTACTACTACGACTACTAATACCTCCATTACTACCACTACTTCTCCTCCTACTACTACTACTACTACTACTACTATTACGACTACTACTACTACTGCCTACTACTACTAGTACTACTACTAGTAGCAGACTCCAAACTTGACTAGTAGCCATTTGGGCAATCTACAACTCAAGACTACACTCTATTTTGAATAGTAGCCACTTTTGACGATTGCCGGATTTTATCACAATTCAAGAATACACAGGGGATACAAGTACTAGGGAGTACAACTCTTAGTACCAGTAATAGTAGCACTGGTACTACTAGAAGAAATTCCCACCCTGACCCTACATGCTGACCGGGGCACGAAAGTCTGCACCGAGGAGGCTCTTGCTTCCTGGGCCATTTGGGGCTTCGTCGGAAGTGCTAAGGTTTCAGTTTTAGTTTCGGGTTTTTGTTTTGTGCTTAAGGCTTATGCAGGGCTATAGGCTATAGGATTAAGGGATGTTAAGGGTTAGGGTTTTACGTGTGTTTTTGGGGGTTAAGGGTTTAGGTTTAGGGTTTGGGGTTTGTGTTAGGGTTTAGGGAAGGGTTAAGTTTAAGAGTTAGGTGTTAGGGATTTGGGGTTTCGGCTAAAAGGCCTTGGTTTAGCTGTTCGCACCGAAACAAAGCAGTCCTAGGATTTCCTAGGCCCTGATTGGACCCCACATAATACCCCCTGAACCTATGCCAATAGGGCTTCGGGTTTAGGGTTCAAGGCCAAGGGTTAGGACGTAAGGTTCAAAGCTGAGGGCGTGAGGCTTGGGGCTTAGGGCTTAGGGTTTAGGGCCACGATTGCTCGGCGTATTTATGCTCTTGGCTGATTCAGAGAGCACTGATGCAGCAGGGGCACATTCAAAGAGCACTTATGCAGCAGGGGCACATCCTATGTTCCAATCCAGAGAGCACTTATGCGGCAGGGGCACATCCTATGTGACAATCCAGTTTGCAACAAAGAAGCAACACCGGAAGCCTGGGTTGCGGCAGCCAGCCCATCGTCAGTATCAGAAGAACACGACATAGACCTGGGCCCGAGGAACAAAAGTTCTTTATTAGGCGAACTCAACAAGGCTCATTAGCACTGCAATGCCGTTCAGTAACCTTGTCGCTCTCATCTAAGGAACGACTCCATTTCATCCGACGACATGGGGGCGGAGCTAATTACTGCTGATCAGCAAGTGGTCATGAAGAGCGGAGGCAGAACAGAGCACCTTGTTCGCGTGGTAAACAATTGTGCTCTATTGGTTCTTGCTGTTTGGCAACTATATATCTACTCTTGATCAGAAGCTGCACGTCAAACAAAGCCGCCAAGTGTTGACTGGCAACAAAGCATGAGCTCGTGTGATGAACCCGGCCCCTCAAGACATGCCTGGCCTACACCCGGCATCTTCAGTCACCAAGGGTGGTAGTGCACCAGCTTTCGCAAAAGCTGCCAAGCCTTTTCGCAGGCCCATGGTGAGCAGAAGCAGTACCTGGCAGCTCTACAGCAAGGAAGGGGAATGGGTTTTTATTTATGTTGCAAAGCCCAACGAAGCACTGCAACGGCAAACTGTTTCTGAACCCCATTCGTGACTAGTGATGATCGCAGAATGCAGCTCGTGCACTCTGTGCACATCGACCCGGCCCAGCTCGTGCAAACAAACAGCCTTATGCTTCTGTGCTACATACACACTATAGTCATCTCTCGCACGAAGCCAGGATGTCACCCGTCAGACACCAAAAACGACACTCCAGCACATATCTCGTAGCTGTCTTTGGGGCACCAGGATAGCTGCAGGGTTTGTGGGAGTCGACTCAGCAATAGGGTTGCAGATCTCGTCTCGGGGATACTAAGGTTGAAGGGTTGGGGGTTGAGTCTGTAGAGTTGCACAGTAGGGCTCAGGAGTTGGTCGGATTAAGGGTTTTATCGTTACCTTTGAAGCGAGCTGGGAATCTGAAGGTTAGGGCGCTGCTCTCGGATCGCAGGAAATGGCGGCTACGGGACTTGCTGGCACATCTTCTGGGAAGCAGATTCTCGCTTCCTACAGTGGGCAGGAGGCCTCGTTTCAAAATGCGGCACACATGCTTTGGAATTGAGAACTTATGCGAGTTACTAGTTACAAGTTTACGTCTTCAATGAAAGATCACATTGTCTACTGCTAACAGAACAGTGGCAGCCTCTCAACCCTAGTGTTCGTAAAAGCTCTAACAGCAAAGGCTCTAGCAGGATGCGATCTAGAGGGCAGCCTGGGGCCTCACTGTACAGGCACGATAGCACCGATCCAAACCGCATCATTTCGAGCTTGGGTCAGACTCAGCACAGCTGTCCCAAAAGTTATGCGAAATCTCAAGGGCTTTCTTCTTGAACGTAGCAGCGGAGGCGGATGTCAGGGTCGCATCATTAGCAGTCTGGGTCGTGAAGAACTTCCAGAATGGATCCTGCATGAAGTGGCGATTCAAGGTTTGGGGCTTTGGGTTTTAGGGCTTAGGGGTTTTCAGGGTTTAGGGATTTAAGGGTTTAGGGCTTAGAGTCCCCCCTAACCCCCACGGCCGAAAACTAAAGCCCTAGCAAGACCTCCAATCAAACCGCTATACAACCTTATGCAACCCCTAAAAAAATCTGCACCTCAAACCTCCCTATAGGAGCCCCAAAGATCCTCGTATTTGCCCGGGAAGCGAAACTTGGGGGCGAGCTCCAACTCAAAGACCTCCTTCAAAGCCAGCCACTTCTCACGGCCTCGTCCCTCCGCCGGACAATACCGCCTTGCAAAGGTCTTCTTGTCCTCGCTGGCAGCACCCTTGGATTTGCGTGGCTTCTTGTCGGCATCAGGAAGCTTCACCTCGGATGTTCGTGCTTTCTTAGATGGCTTCTCTTCGGAAGGAGGAAGCTTCACCTCGGATGTTCGTGGTTTCTTGTACGGCTTCTCTTCGGAAGGAAGCTCTGCGATCTCGGCCGGGGCTTTCTTACCAGTCTTACCGGGCTTCGTCTGCGGGGTGGCGATAGGCCTGGGCTTCTGATTCTTCTGATCCTTCTTCTCGTCAGTGCTGATGCACTCAGCATGGCTCTGCCTTGCACTCGGTCGCTTGAGGACCGCCGTGGCACCTCGTCCCCGGCCGCGTCCCCGACCTCGACCCCTTTGGGCCTTGGCTTCACTTGGCTCGTCCGGCGTAGCCGACAGCTTCTCCTGGTAAGCACGTTGCTCCCGTCTCTTCAAGATGTCCTGCATCACGGAGAGAGGTTTTGATATGTTTAGAGTTTAGGGCTTTCGGTTTAGGGTTTTAGATATATCATTCCGGAAGCGAGGAGGACAAAGAAAAACGGAGCCCTAAACCCTAAACCCTAAACCCTAAGTATGGTTCTCAGGGATTAGAATTATAGGTTAGGGGTTAAGGTTTTTTAGGGTATTATATTATTTAAAATTTTGGGTGGATGGCAGCTCGGAAGGGTCGGGACTCTAGGGTTCTTAGGGAGTCACGGTTGTGGGTTTAGGACTGAGGGGCTTGGGAGTTCCTGGACCGACAATGTGATCTGGGGCTTTGCGATCAGGATGCTTGGGGCATCAGTGGTTTGGAGACCAGACAAATCCCAAGCGAGAAAACCGCGAAACCAAAAAAACCCTTCCTGTATTTCAAATAACGATAAAACTAAGATATCAATTGAAGAACCTCAAACAACTTCGAAACGAGGCCTGGGCATCGAAAAGATCGAGCTCGCTGGCGTCGGATGCTTCTGCTTCGGATTCATCAGCAGCGGCTTCTTCAGGCAAGGGGTCCGGCTGTGTCATGGGTAGGGCCGGCTCCACTGGAAGCTTGTTGGCTTCAGCTTGCGACGATTCGGGGGCTGTAGCCTTGGCTTCGGGCTGCGGGGGTTCGGGGGCCGGCACGACCTGCTTTGCGATCTCCTCCAAGTCGGGCTGTTCGCCATCCTTCAAAGCTTCAGGATTCGTGGCCACTGCTTTGGCTTCGGCTTCAGCAGCAGCGGCTTCTTGAGGCAAGGGGTCCGGCTGGTTCACGGGCAGGGGCGACTCCACAAACTTGTTGGCTGCAGCTTGCGACGATTCGGGGGTTGTAGCCTTGGCTTCGGGCTGCGGGGCTTCGGGGGCCGGCACGGCCTGCTCTGTGATCTCCTTCAATACGGGCTGTTCGCCGGTTTTGGGTGCGGGCTCCTTCAGCCCATCAACCTTCAAAGTTTCAGGATTCCCAGCCACCTTCCCAAGAGTGCTTGCACCGTGGCCTTTGCCACCTTTGGAAGCCACGGGAGCTTGTGTCTCCTCCTCGCTGGGGTCGATGGGCCCTGCACAAAGACTCACTACAGGTTTCAAGTTTAAAGGGCTAGGGTTTAGGGTTTGGGCTTTTGGGTTTTGTGCGTTGGTTATCGTGGGGTCGATGGGGCCTGCACAAAGACTCGTTACAGGTTTCCAGTTAAATGGGCTAGGGTTTAGGGTTTGGGTTTGGGTTTGTTGGGCGTTGGGTTTAGGGTTTGGGGTTTTGGGGCGTTTTTTATTGTAAGTCTATTCGCGATTCAAGGGTCAGCAATTCCGAAATCTCAATCCTGCAGCCTCCGAACCCGAATACCATAGCAGTAAGAGTAAACTGAGTAATACCCGATAGGATCCTAAGTACCCGGTCAGAAAAGCCCCGAACCCATGAAGGTGCCTTTGGCTGCCGGTGCTGGAGCAGCTGCTGCTTTCTTTTCTGCGATCTGCTTCCTGATCAGCACACAGCATTGCGTAGACGATCGGGGTTTAGGGTTTAGGCATCTTTGTTCGCATTATTTCATCACGGCCCTTTGAGGGATACCGTAGTTTAAACTTGTTAGAGTAGGTTAGGGCACGTATAGCAGTAAACAGAAAACATTTCTAATCCTATCAGAGAACTTCAGCAAAGCGATTCGAGCAAGTCGCTCAGCACGAGAATCAGCTGCTTCCATCGGCTCGGCTAGATTCGGTTGGGGTTGAGGAACAATCTCTTGCACCGGGCTGCCAGGGCTTGCAGATGCAATCAAAGATCTTGTCTTAACTGGCGTATCTGTGGGCCTGGGCTTCACCGGCGACAAGTGCGAATTGAACAATGTGCTGTCAAGGTAACTCGACACCATGCCACTGGGAGGTGCCTGGGGCACAAGGACTTCCGATCGCTTCGGCTCCTTCTGCGGCGGGGTCTCTGAAGGTTTGACAACAGCATGGTCCGAGGCATCGTTGGGTTTCAGGTTGAGGCCTAGCTTCTCACCGAGCTCAATATCCTGAATACACTCGGAATCAGAATCAAGCTCGAAGTAGGCATCCTCCTGTAATGCCTCCTCCTCGCCACCCTCCTCCTCGTAATCATATTCCTCAAGCTCATCATCGCCAGCCACAGCCACCTGCTCCTGTGAATCCACTGGGCCATAACAGAGCCTCCTTCCTGCCTTCCTGGCCTTCTCTATCTCCTCTGCAGTAGGGGTCCAGTATTGGCGGTAGACGGCATAGAGATCATCAAGCGTCGCATCCTAGGTTGTTTTATTGATCTTTCAAGGGCCCCCAACCTCAATCCCAACCAAACTCATGACAATACAGCAACCGAAGCTACTAAGCGGCTCGTTTCTTCCTCGAAGTGAACAATCGCTTGTTGATCAACGTCTGGAAGCCCTTTATCGCGTGCCCCTCGCAGTGCACATTGGCCGGGTCTTCTGCCATGCCGAGGTCATTGCGAAGCTGCTTGGCCTGGCACAATGATTATGTGAGGAGGTTCATGTAAGTGTTCGAAAACTAAGTCGAAGTCTGCAGTTATTGCAAAGGTTCAGGCCTCTTTCTTCAGTGGCCCCACATTGAGGCCCAGCTTGTGCGGAGATTGTGGACCGAGAACCGAAGCCACTGCTAGCATCACAGATTTGTTGAGCTTGAGGGACTTCTGGCTGCAGATGCCTGTTCGCTGAGGATCAGGCCATCTGAGAAGGGTTTTCCCCTTCACGACTTGCAGTCTGCATGCTTCATGATTCGCCCAAGCCGTCGAAAGTCCCCGAACATGTCCCTTTGGTGCATAACTTTTTTTCACTTTCGACTCGGGTTTAGCCATGGCACCTGCAATCCCTAGTTCACTAATGCAGACTGGCTAGCTAAAACTGTGCCTTTCAGATCAGCGGATGCAACAAAAGACATGTATCGAGTCGCAAGTCTCACCCGGATTTCCGTGGAAGCAAACAAGCAGGGGCACGAAGGCAGCCGGAGTAGGGAACCGCCTGTCCGGGTTTTACTGTTGCTAAATCATGACTAGGTTTCTAAACAGAGAAATACAATCCAACTGCTGAATCAATAGACAGACAGAGCCTGGGCTCTCGACGACCCATGCCCTCCGTGGATGTAGTGATCACCTGTTCGGGTTCTAGTTCTAGGCGATGCTGCAAGAGATGGTTTAGGGTTTAGGGGTTTAGGGTTTTTTCGGTGGGTTTAGGGTTTAGGGCTTAGAGGGAAGAGGCCTGGATGCAAAAGGGGTTAGAGAGAGGGGTTTAGGGTTTTCGAATCACCTGCAACAGTGGTGGTTTAGGGGTTAGGGGTTTAGGGTTTTCGAACTAATGTCATTTAGGGGCTTAGGGGTTTACGAATGTCAATGCTGGCCTGTGAAGTTCTCTCCCCAACCAGCACCGATATGAAGTAGATTCCCGCCTGCGACAGAGGAGTAAGTTGACCAAATCCCATGCGAAAGCTAATTCCCCCACCTGTGCAATGTAGAGCTGGTCCCAACCAGTATCGAAGTGAACTAGACCACCACCTGCCAAGGAAGGAATAATTTGCTCCAATATAAGTCTAATTCCCCCACCTGTGCAATGTAGAGCTGGTCCCAACCAGTATCGAAGTTGAAGTAGACCACCACCTGCCAGCGAAGGAATGATTTGCTTCAATACATAAGTCTAATTTCCCCACCTGTGCAATGTAGAGCTGCTCACAACCAGTATCGAAGTGAAGTAGACCACCTGCCAACGAAGGAATAGTGTGCTTCAATATACGTCTAATTCTCCAACCTGTGCAACGTAGAGCTGGTCACAACCAGTATCGAAGTTGAAGTTGAAGTAGACCACCACCTGCCAACGAAGGAATAGTTTGTTTCAAACTGAGTCTACAGTAATGAGTCTCATTCCGTACCTGTGCAGTGTAGAGCTGGCCAAAACCAGTATCGACGTGAAGTTGATTGTCGCCCTGCAAGGACAATCTTCATCGAATTCTATCACTTGTTTGCTAATTCCGCAAACCTCTGCAGGCGCAGACCTGCACCGAGCCGAAGTCCAGAGCCTTGCGAAAGCCAGAAACTGTTTTGTAGGTAAACGGCAATCCTAATTCCGCACCTGTGCAGGAAGTGCAGCAGCTGCACCAAAAGTTGATTGTAGCCTTGATCGGACTGAAAGATCAGAGAACAATGAACACTGGTATAACTTCTCATTCCCTGCCTCTGGAAGAGAGGCTCCAAGCGAAGTGAAGCCTAGCTGCAAATGACTCGAGCTACACAGCTACATGAACCAAGCTTCCCAATGAAGTTGTATGCACCTTCAAAGTGATCAGCAGCTGCCCCGCCACCACGAAGCGAAGCCGATGGCCACCCTGCATAATTCAGAGGAGACCAATTTCACCTATATCCCCGACCCCTGCAAGCCTGTTCCGATGCCCCGGAAGCAAAATCGATGTCCACCTGCGTGGGCAGTGGGCTGATGACTTCGATTTCTCGATAAGTTTGACACAAGCTTCATACGACACAGTGCCATCCCTGTTTTTTCCCCCAAAATCACGGCGAAGTATGGTTGTCGCATACCTGTCCCGTGTTGAGGAACCCCTTTAGCCCCATCGGCCCCTGCCCACTTCACTTCTCTACACATCAGCCGGCTGATTGGCAGCATCATTGCCTTGCAGGTGACACTTTCGATAAAAGTACAAGTAGACTCTACAGGTACTGAGCCGTCATTCCACGATTAAAGCAACCGAGTCACTCAGGGTACGGTAAGCTCGATACAATGTCCAAGTAGACCCCTTGCGGAAAAAGTTTTCCAGGATGCCACTGAACTCTTCGTCGGTCATGGTCTTGACCTGGGCTAGGAATTTTGGAGAATGCAGCTTAGGTGTCTACATGGGATCAATCTGAAATCTTGCCAAACTGCAGTCTCTTTCTCAGGGTACACCACATGCCGCGCTTCCATCCAAAATGTATCAGGAAGGTCCATCAGGCCTGACCCAAGAAATGCCACGAGTTTGCTTTACCATTTGCATACATTATGCAGACGATGCTGATACAGCATGAACAACAGGCACCTGCATGGTATGCCTTATGAAAAAGCTTCGTCGTGACGGCCATGGTGGATCGAGCACTTGCGGGCAAAATAAAAAGTGCTTTGCCTCTCTCGAGCCCACAGAGCAAATAATTCAAGGCTCCTGAATCAATGTGCACAACAACACCACAGCATAGCAAAGACACAGCTGTGCACGGGAGGGGGGTGCCTTCAGAGGACCCAAAGAGCCCGGAGAGACTGCTGATGAGCCAAGATACAAGCAGCAGGTGCTGAACAGGGCCACTAGGAACCTATAAACCCCGAATGCCACACTTCAGCCCACTTTCCAAAATCAGCCCATTAGCCTATATTTCCTGTTTTCACAGTTGGACCTAAAATTAGAGAGGTCTTTGATGATCCAGGTATATATATATATATCTCTCTCTCTCTCTCTCGCTCTCTCTCCCTCATACCCTTGCAGAATGCACTTCTGCATCACACGTTGAATCTTCTGTACAAGAACCCTTATATCCCGCTGAAACCCGAGCGCTAAGCCCCTAAACACGAAGCCCAAGACTCAATCCAGGAGTTCCTAGGCGAGGCACAGAAGAAACAGCGCCTGAAAGATCGAGAAGACGCCTTGGCGGAGATCCTCCTGAAGGAGTTTCTGGTTAGGGACCCTAAACCCTAAACCCTAAACCGTTTAGGGTTTAGGGTTCTGGCCCTGGTCAGGGCTTTCTCGCTGGTTTTTAGGGTTGTCTGTATGTGTTTGTCCAGCTCTTCGGGGAGTTAGGGTTTAAGGTTTGGTTTAGGAGTGGGAAGTCAGGGTTGCAACGTTTATGGGATGAGGATGGACGAGGGTTTTTTACGGTTTGGGATGTGGCGTTTGAGGCTGAATGGGTCAAGGATTCGGAGTTTAGGGTTTAGGAAGGTCTAGGGTTTAGGGCCCCGTCCTCTTTTGTTGGGGGGATGTGGGAGTGTCTGGCAGTTTTAGGCTTTCTGGTTGTTCCGGGAGTGAGAGTCTTAGGTGCTCGATACTGCTTGTGCAAGAGTTTCATTAGTCGGGGGTTCAGAAGGAGTTGCTGGGAATGCAGGATTTCAGGGTTTAGGGTCTATAGGGATGGAAATCGAAGCTTATGTCTGAGTTGGTTCGGGGAATGCTCCTTCCCACCACACGACAGGGCCTCAGTATGGTGTTGAAAAGCAGTGTATTACAGGTCTTGTGGCTTCTGGATTTATGGTTGAGTTGCGTTTCGGCTTTGTCTGATTGATCTCGGACCGGTGGGTGTATTCATGAAACGATAGAGTTGTTGCATGGTTCTTCGGTTCCGGTTTTGCTGGTGCTTACGGCTTACGGGCTCATAAGGGTTTAAGGACTGAAGATGGAAGGCTTGTGGCTTAAACTCCAGAGCACGGCGTGCCAGCGAGATCGGTTCTACTGTAATCGGCAGTTGCTTTGCGCTCCGTTCTAGGCAAGGAAGGTCTTCCACCAGAACCCTAAGCCCTTTGAACCATGCGGAGCCTTGCCTGTCTTGTGCGAGTGTTAGAGTCGAAACCCTAAATCCAAAAGCATAGTAAACCCCGAAGACATCGGAGAAGATCATCCTGTCTCGGACCAAGGAACAGGGAACTCCAGCAAACATGAGCATTCATTTTGACTTCATGATCCCTTCACCACTCTCAAGACCCCCTTAAAGTCTTGAAATGTCTACATCTTTCTTTCCCTTAATCCCTCTTCCAGATGGTAAAGGACAAAGGCCCTAAGGCCCAACCCCCAAATTAAATCCCGATAGCCCTTATCGACCTTCCAGAATCACCTCAAAGGACAGTCTTCAACGACATGACAAACTTGTGGACCCTCAACATGGGAAGTTCTCTGAATTGGGGTCCCGTTTTAGGTCCCCAAATATAGCACGGCTCCCTTTTTTTAACCCTAAACCCTGAACCCTGAACCGGGACCCTATTCTAGAGAACTACCCACATACACCTAGAGGACTGGAGGTCCCCGAAACAGAAGAACCGTAGATCAGGCAGTGGCAGTCCACAGAGCAGTTTAGGGTTTATAGGGTTTAGAGTTTAGGGTTTTCAGCTTCACCTTGAAAGCCATCCAAGAAAGAAAGCCCACGATGTCTTGATGTCCGGGGGAGTCAGAAGCTATAAGATTCCCAGCTAATTCAGACAGGTTACTGAGGTTACTTTCTAAATAAATATATATATATATACTTTTGCCGCAGGGATTTGTGTGCTGTTCCTTTTGGAGTTGCAGCTTTTGGCCGGCTTCTGCCCGCCGTCTGCTTCCACGGTCTAGGACCAGGGATTCGGGCTTATAGGGCTTATTGGGAAAACTGCTGGTGGCTTGGAGTCCTTGCACAAGAGTCGTTTCTCCTGGCAGCATGCGCGATCTCTCTCCGCGCTACTCCGCGTGCCAGGTCCAAGTTTGCTAGCCCAGCGGGCGGGCTGTAGTGAGGCGTTCTTGCGGACTAAAGGCTCGACACGAGGAATGGCGCCGTGAGACACATGGGGCGTTTTGTTGTGCTTACTATATTACAGTTTATTGCAGTACCAGATGATACAGGCTGCACCAGCACATGCACATGGCTGAGAGCCAGCAAGCCAGCACAGGTCCAACATCAAGGCAGTCAGAACCCCTACAAAGCCGGAGAGCCACTGCGCAGTTCCGCAGAAAAGCCGCAGACATCTTCTTCACTTGCTGCCCATGGCCTTTGATAGCCATCGCGTGGACAGCCCAGTCGCTACTTGGCATGGAGGGGCTTGCTTACATGTGTAGATTTGGTACTCAGTTTCGTCAGTCCTCTTCTTCAGAGTCTCACAGTGTAAGCCTTAAGTTTCCCAGTTCGGCTCTATTCCGACATCTGCCGGCTGCGATTGGAAGAGTCCTGCATGCTTTCGGGAACCCTCCAGACACCTACAACCGTGGAAACCCAAACAGTGTTGCGAGGGTGCCTTCAATGATGGTAATGCGGGTGCTGTTCTGACGCACGCGCCCTCTGAGAATCGTTTCGTCATGAGCAAGCAACCGGAAAGGAATTCCTGACTAAGAACGACCTTGCTGTGCCCTTGTCACAGCTCGCTACAAAAACCCCTCTACTCTACCCCTTGAGAGACATCAGCAGAAAGCCTTGCAAACCTAGGCCTCAAGAAGGAGAATGCGCGAGGGTATCCCTGCAGCTTGCCTTGATGTGGGGATTAAAACTAGGCCTAGGTCTGGTGCCTGGGTGTTCGTGATAAAGGGTTTCGGGTGTAGGGTTCGCTATGCTACCTGTGCCAGCCACGGGTAGAGTCTGCCAGAGCCTATGAGGGTTTGTCGCGGAAACGGCCTAGGGTTTAGGGACCTTCAGGGTTTAGGGACCTTTAGGGTTTAGGATGAGGGTTTAGGGTTTAGGCTTTATCTTCCAGACTAGTCCTGAGCTCTAAGCCCCAATCTTGTAGCAATTGAAGTGCCGGGCTTCCGGCGAGCAGTGAATTTGCGTGCCTGTCAACTTAAGCCTAGGCAAGATCCTCGCAGGTGGGGTTTCATAGTTCGGGCCTGCGGCCTAAACACGCTTATAAATCCCAAGTAAACAGGCTGGGCGATCTCGTCAGTTGGTATTCACTGCAGTTGTATCGACATTGTGGTATGATTACGGGTCCTGAACTCGACACGGTGTAGTGAGAGGCAGATGACGCAAACTGGCAGCGTCGGTTGCTACTTGGTTGACCACCGTGTTGGGAGATGTGTCGTTCCTCCGGTCACCACAACTACCATTACTACGCCTGCCTCTACTGCTAGAACGACCACGCCAGGATCAAGCACGACGAAGGGCTCAATTACCGCCACCACATCAATTATTCCGAAGAGCTATAACAGCCATCACGGCTTTTTCCACCATGTGACACCCACTCAATCCCTAGATGGACTGGTTCAGAGCTGGCAGGAAACTAGTGACGAGACTGCCCCACATTGGACCATAATTTGCTGTAATATAAGTCAAGCATAGCAGTCTCATACTGGGCTATCATTCTAATGCTATAATACCTCTGCTACCCCGCTACCGTGCTGCGTCCCATGTGTAAATACTTCGAGGTCCGATCTCCTGGCGAGCCGGCTGAGCGAGTGCCCTCGCTGCAGGTTAGAGTATGGGGGTTTTGTCTGCTGGGCTGCATACTTGCTATAGTAGAATAGTACAAGTATAGTCTAGTGTAGTACAGCTTATAAGTCTTGGTATATGGCAGTATTAGTATCATGTATTGTGAGGGACCCAGACCTCACGCACAGCTTGTTCGAGGCCATGTCATGGGCAGCATAGGAAGAGATGGTTTGGGACCTGGTGAAAGAATGTTCGAGCCTCGAGCGGCTGGGGTGCTTGAGGCTTAATCCTAAGCATCTTCTACTCCATGATTGTTTGATGCAACACTAAATCAGAAGCTGACCTTGTTTTCAGTGTGTTGTACCTGGTGCCGGAGGTTTTGGATGCATGGAGTGCAACGACCACCAAACAGATAGCCGTGCATGAAAAAGGGATGCCAAGAGCCCCTTGACAAACGATTTAGGCGGTGACGCGGACAGCAGCATCGAGTCATCTATCCTTCTCGGTCTCCTTTTGCCCTATCATGTCGGGGTGTTTGTCTCTTGGAGATCCATCGCGTCCATTTTTCCAATTCGAGATACAGGTGCCTGAGTAATCAGACTAGGGAGACACTCCAATCTCCCAACTTGTATTAGGGAAAGCGGATAAACCCAATATAACAAACGTTAAACCCTACACCAAACCCTAAACCCTAAACCTAGCATTAGACCCTGGAGATCAAACCTGATCTATCTAGGTATCTGTCTATGTGTATATAAATAAGTAAATAAATAAATAGATAAATAAATATAAATATAAATAAATAAATATATATATATATATGCATTTTATGTAAAGATATATGTGTAAAAAGGCGGTAACCTTCACAGCCCCGAGACTGGTGAAATAGGTCGCCTCGAGCGAATCATGAACGCCTTGCTGTTCAACCAATTGCCACACAGTGTCATAGTATACTACAGTAAATTGTAGCACAGTAGATAGTGCAGTATGGTACATCC